TTATATGTGTATCTTTGTGTTTAAATTTGTTCTTATTTTTGTATTCACACCCTATATTTTGCATATTTGCATTTTTGTTTCTTCATTCTAGTTTTTACTTTTACTTAATGCTCTTAGTGATTTTACATAATATTTTTCTGTTATTTCATTTTATTCTCATCATTTTATACAGGGCCCTCAGTAATAGCAGTTTTTAACTGATGAGGCTACCCTGTCTAAATAAAACAATAAATAAATAAATAATAAATATCAAGCCCTATTCAGTTTGACGGATACCGATATATTTCTGGTCGCGCGGTAATCTTCTGGGGCACTTCAATAGAAATACGTCCCATCATGCTCAGGATACAACGGGACTTATATACTGTTTAACGCCACTCGTCAAATCAAGGTTTGAGATTTCACAGGTTACAAACATTTCCATTTAAATAGCACTTTAACGTACCGTATGTCATTCATGGCGGCTAAAGCTTCATTTTGAATCAGTTTCTATTTTTTGCATATTATTGGTTTATATTTTATTCTATTACGGGTGATACTCTTTTGCATTTCTTAACTCTTTTACTGTGAAATATTACACGGTACTTTCACTATTACAAAATGTCATTTTTAACATCACGAGAAGTGATGTTATAATACCATTTTCAAGGGCGGTTCCGGGGGGGGCGGCCAACGGGGGCCGTGCCCCCCCCTCCCCCCCCCAAAAAAGAACCCAAATTTTGTTTTTAAGTGACGTCGCAATAAAGGCAGGTACAGCGTACACCACCATCATTTCCTCAAAAAAAATGTTCAGAAATTGTGGTTGGAAATTGCCTCAGATCGCACCACAGAGCATCTAGAATCAAAACAAAATTCGGGGCCCTTAAGCGGGCCCGCACCCCACGCCCTAATTTTTTGACCCACTTTTTGAGAGACGAAAATTACTTCTGGCCCCCACCCAAATTTTGTTCTGGATACGCCCTCGATCACTTTATTCTCTTGAGAACCACAATTTTACAACCACAATTTTTCCGTGATGCTTGTGTGTTCTGGAAACTGGGGGAACACGCCCAAAAGAAACTCTCTATCGGGATAACTAACCAAACTTTACTAATCCCTGATTTTTGGGAAGAGTCACAAGGAATTGAATGAATAGAGACATGAAAGTCATTCGTAGTTGCCAAACCAGAAGCAAAAAGACTTTATTGACTGAAACAACCTACAGCAAAACTGAACAAGACTTTAACCGAAAAAACCCAAAACCAATAGCAAAAACAGTATGTTAAAAAATCACCAGAAAAGACCAAAAAGTAGTGTAAAATGATTTATCTTAAAAGTACAATCTGGCTAAAAATCAATTACTTGATGGTGTTAGAACCCGAACAGGATCGACACACCACTCTAATTAATTAGCATGGCGTCTAGTGTAAGGGACACATGCACATTGTACTCTCATCTCCGCTGGTCTGGTTTTGACTGAGGTCAAGATTGGGCAACGCATATGGTTCCTTATCAACGCAGGGCACATGGGTCTCATTTCTAGAGGTCTGACTTCTGGAAACAGGGAGACACGCTACTAAAAACAAGTGAAGGGCATAGGCCTAACTAAACTCCCATGATAAATTCATCCGGTAGAACTTCTCCTTTACTTAACACAGAAAACAACGTGGTAATTACAATTAATACTTTAATAGCTACTAATCGACAGTTAAAAATAATTTTCAAAAATAGGTGAAAATTGCTGTCAAATGTGGGTGTCTTTTTTTTTAACCACCCTGTATACAAGAAAGGAGATCCATCGCTGCCGCCCAACTTTCGCATGATCGCTCTGAACAGTAGCATTGCCAAGGTCTACCAACAACTAACCAAACTTTACTTATCTCAGTTTTTTAAGGGAAGTAAAAGTCGCAAGGAATTGAATTGATACTACATGAGATTAATTCTAAGTTGCCGAAAAAAAATCCAAAAGAATTTATTGACTGAAAAAAAAATTGTATACAACAAAACTCAGAACAAGAATTTAACCGAAAAAACTAGTAAAACCCAATAGCAAAAATAGTGCGTTGAAAACAGCCTTAATAAGGCTTGCTGTTTCACCTTTGTGAACAAGTTCGGTGTCATGAAATTTAATCCGAAATTTAAAAAAAAAACCGGTGGTGTCCGGAAATTGGGCACAAAATCGTCTGAGTGTTCCCCAACGTGGCGCACTAGAATAAATCTCGGAAAATTTCAAATTAACATTTAAGAATTTCTGTAAAGTTGATAAATTCTGATAATCATTTTTTATCTCTACTTACAAAGCCAACTAAATGTTTGTCAGAAAATTATTTTCTTATTTTTGGGGGGCATTTCAATGGGTTTACTTTTCACTTCGAAATAAATCGGAAAATCACGCCGAACTAAATTGTTCTTCTAACTTTGTAACAGGTAGATAAACTCGTGAGTTATCAACGGGAGTGTTTAGAACTTAATGAAATTTCTCTTTCTGTGAAATTTGAATTAAAACTTTTACTCTATAGCTAGGCGCTACAGGCAAAAAATCATAGTGTGCCACGTTATAGGGGCCGCGCCACGTTTATATAGGGTACATCAACAATATACTGCCCCGACCATGAACATCCATCATGACGAAAAGCTGGGAATTGGTTGCACACCCTATTGCAACGTCAGACTTTCACTCGGGAACTGACTTCTGGCTTAAGCCTAAACCAAAAGTCCAATGTGCTGGAAAATTCTTCTCCAGAACGACTCTGCAAATAAGATATCGAGCGAATAATATTAATGCTAAAGTTGTTATTCCCTCATTCAAACGTTATTCACTTTTGATTGAAACATCAAAGGAAAATCCACCCTTGTTTACACAAAGGTGTAATACAAATTTCAATTGCATTTTGTAAGTTGCGGACGATAGAACTAAAAACAGTTTTGTTTTTTTCGCTTAAATGAAATAATTATACAAATTGATGTTATAATTTGTTCGCAAGCACAGACGGTAAAGCTTTGATTATGAATGATAAAACGTTGAAAGGAGCAATTTGTACATTCATTGGACAACTTTAAGAGCGCCGATTTTGATTGGCACTTCAGCGCCATTAAGTTATACGCTGAAGTGCGTTCTCTATCGCCCACACTAAACAGACTTTTCTTGCCAACCCGTGGATGGCACTTTGTTGCCAACCACGGGTTGCCAAACTCAAGAACGTCAACATCGCAACAACAGAGTAGTTATACATGTTTCCAAACATATCAGTGGACCAATAAACGCTACCAAAGACTTAATAACAATGCCTGCTGTTACACAATGTACAAACATTACATTCACTGTGTGGACTTCCGAACAAAAGATGTCCACATAAACCAGCAAGTAGCAGCACGAGAACAAAAAAATGTTGTGTGGACTTTCCCACATCCACACAATGTTTTCCTCTCTCTGGAAAACAGGTTTAGAGGCATTTTGGGGTTAAGGTTTAACCGTGGCAAAATGAAGAGAACACTAAAGGGAGTCATAGAAGAAAAAAAAGTGGGTTGAAAGAGTTTTCACAATGTAGTAAAATGATTTTTTTTCACAGGTTTTTCTTAACTACGCGAAATCAAAAGAATGTCCACACTATAGGTATATATAACGTAAACATGGGTGAGTGTGTGTGAGTTTGTTTCTGCATTCAATAGGGGACGTTGAACAATAGAGGACAATAGGGGCCCCTTTTCCCGGGAGGTCCCCAATTTGGATTCATGTACAAAACATATGGGAGGTCTTCCTAAAAAGTTGGTGAACAAACAAAAGAGGAACAAAAGGGGATCCCCGATTACAGGCAAATACAGTATGTGTGTGTGTGTGTGGGAAGGGGATGAATGTTACAGTGTGGGGTTGGGGGCGCCCAATTTCGGTTCAACCCGTTGGTGGTCACTTATATAACAAATTTCCAAGGGCGACTGGGGGGGGGGACGATTTTTTTTTATGGGGGACCCGTCCCCCCCCCCCCCCTCCCCCTTGGCTACGCCGCTGAGGGCATAGTGTCGTTCGCCGGGATTTGTTTGGTGAGAACAGAGCTTATGTGCGAGAAGTCATCACAGCGACATCTCGTGTTCCCGTTGTTAATGGAAAAGAACAAAATGTACCTTGCACAGGCGCAGTGGCGTCGCCAAGGGGGGGGGGGGGGGGCAGGGGGCACGTGCCCCCCTGGAAAACCTAGTGCCCCCCCCGAGTGCCCCCATCAAATGCTGGTGCCCCCCTATCCTCTGCAAAATTCTGCGCGTTGTTAAAATCATTACCTCAAAAATAGCAATTTCTGGAGATATCTTCAGATCGAATTTAGCATCAAATGTGGCACCATTTTGCATCTAGCCCATCCTCCGTATGCGAAAATTTTCCAAAGGGAGGGGGCACCCCCTCCCCTTAGACCCCTCCCCCAGGACGGCGATCCGTATCCACCTAAGTGCCCCCCCCCATCAAATGCTGGTGCCCCCCCCGTGCCCCCCCAGACTGAAAAGTCTGGTGACGCCACTGCACAGGCGCAGTTCTAGAGCCTATATTTTAGGGGGGGGGGGGGTTAGCAGGGTGGCTCCAGAAATATGTGCAGGGAAGCGTGCCTCCGGACACTTAGGCCTCCGAAAATCAATAGGGAAGTTGGGGTGGGGGTAGGCTCTTGCCAGATTTTCATTGGGAGCGCTGATAAATTCGTACAATCATGCACACTATTTTACCTAATAGTGTACAAAATGCACCCTTTTCACAACTATGTTTTTTAGGGGGAGACCATTAACATGTGACGTCACCTTCTAACATTTGCTACTGCCATTTTTTATATGAAATTTTTTTTCGGGGGCGCTAGACAAAAGTTTGGGGATATAGCCCCCCCCCCCCCCTTTCGTAGAACCGCGTCTGACCTTGCATTTTCAGCGTTGCAGAAATGCCGGGAATAGGACATGCAAAGGTTGTATGCAGCATCTCCGTAACAAATCAATTCTAGTCTAAAGTACTTTCCTTGAATGAAAAGATCGATTTGTATAGTTTACCGGATCTCTTTGGGTGCAATGTACCACGTTGGCGGCAGGCTGAAACCGTTAAAATCGCATGCACACGTAGCGGTATAGCCTCCCATATCTGATGACAGAAGAAAAAAAAATACACAAAATTGGGCAAAATATTTCAGATCAAAACAAGTAATCTATCATCCAATATTATGTAGCTGCATTAGAAATAAATTCAAAACGGTACTAACCAGAATTTACTGTTTTGAATTTATGTATACTGGTAAGTTAGCTGTTTCTTATTTGGCCCCATCCGACAGGTGTAGTCGATTGATTACCTACGTTAATAGGCGTTCCTTTTGCATACCTAGGTTATCATAGTTACTGTTTGTGTAAAACATTCTTGGGTTGACAAATTACTTGTAAAGAATGCCTTGAGTTCAAAGTTGCAGTAAGGGGGCGGGGCTAGAAAAGCAAAAAGTACAGAAAGAGAAAAAGGAGGGGAAAGGAGAAAGAGGGGAAAAAAAAACGAAGGGCAAAGCATATTATTGTTAATTTAATGTAAATTTTACAATATGGACATGATGGACGTTTTTCTTACAAAGCGTCGAAGAGTCAGAATCTGTACACTCTCGATTTTTCCACGGCCGGTCACTTCGCTCTGGTGAGGGTTTGCCCCCCCCTCAAGAAAAAAACCTGGTCACGCCCATGCTCGAGTTTCATAATCACATGATTTTGCGTATTGAAAGTAACTTCGAGCGTTTAGTGAGCCCCTTTAAGGTGTGCCCCATTGGCAAAAGATTTATATGTAGTTGTGGGTGAACCGGCCGCGATCGGAACACGCGAATATTTTTCGCGTGATTCCAAAATCAACATAGATGAGCTTATACGTCACTATAGATATGAATATTCGCTCAAAACTTTCTGAAATGGAGCGCGCCATTTAAAACTGACGCAAACAAGCACATTAAAGCCGGAGTCCATCATTTGCAGCTATCCAAAAAAGTAACTGGCGTAATTATTGTTGAAAAACGTTGAAAGATAGTAAGGGGACCAAACTCCCTGTGGAATTATTCTTTCTGGCAAGCTCTCATTTTGAAGAAATCAACGAAAGAAGGCATTTCCAACGGTGCGTCTTAAGAAGCACGGTAGGCAAATTTAAACTATAGTAGTTAGTTTTGTTATTCGGCGCAGTGCGCGCAAGCACTGGCACGACGCAAGTACAGGCGCGCGCGGTTGCTATAATTCGTCGGATCAGTGCGCGACATCACGTATAGCTGCAGTTCAAAACAATTCAAAACATGATTTAGCAACTTTTGATTTGAAATTAAGATCATAGAATACTGTTTTTCTCGGAATATACAGCTGAAGCTGAGCTGCAACTTCATCAGGTTAGTTGTTCAGTATCCTTCATTAGATTTTGAACACTTGTTGCGTCAAACGAACAAAATGCACAAATTACAAATGATGAACTATGTCTTTAATGTGTTATAGGTCTTGAACATTTTGAAAAAATCTCGTACCAGCTTTAAGGTGTCGCAAGCATTATTTACGCCTATGCGCATCACTTATTTGTCATAAAAAATGTATGTTAATGGCAGAGATTATGTGCGTCCCTCTCATAATGCATGCAGAATACATCCAATGAGTGATCAGAAAAAATGGCCATCTTTGGCGAATTGTTCACTGTACAAGACAAGAACAAATATGCCTAACGTGAACATTATACACTTTTATAGAACATAATTCCCATTTTTTTCCAAGAAAGACGTATACTCACCATGGAACAAGACAAACTCTCCGGTGTCCATCTCAGGAAACATACAGTTAGCCATGATGACGTCATTAGAATCACAAGTCGGCCCGAAAATTGTAGATGGCTTCAAATCGCGGTTTCTAAGTGGTTCCTGTGTGTTGATTAGGTAACATTGGAGAAAACGTCATATGAAATCGGAGAGGTCGTAACAACTTCGGCGAGACCAATACTCCTTGCACCAACTTGTGGTTATTACTGTTGACTTTTGCCTCTCTCTCCCCCCCCCCTCCCCCTCTCTCTCTCTCTCTCCCCCCCCCCCCCCCCCCCCCCCATTTCTCAACTACGGGCTTCGTTCCGGGAACGAGCTTTAACGTCACTGGGTCCCTTGCCTTGAGAGAATATTGATCACTTTGTCGGTACATATTCTGCTACGAAATCCTCTGAATACGAAACAACATTTTGGAGTCTTTCTGTTTGGAATATTTCTGGCAGCAGCGACTAACACGAATTCGGAACGAAGCCGGGACTGATGCAAGGAGGCCCTACGAACATTAATAATAGTTGTGGTCTTCCCATTATAGGCTATTCATAAATACCTAAGATATTTTACCCATTCCTATTGGTCGAAAGCCCGTCACGTGGCGGGTCTTAAACGGTTTTATAAAACACTGGCTGGGCTGGAAGTGTTTAAGACCAGACAGAAATAAAGGTGGCTCCCAATCATGGCAACTACGTTTCTGGTTTTGAAAATGTGTTTTTCAGAATTTGTAGGTTTTGAAGTTTCTAAATTTTGATAAAGCAAATATTTTACATCATTTTCAACCTTAAATATTTTTCTCCTTTAATTAAGGCGAGTTTTCATTCCTTTTGGAGCCTGTTTTGGTAGCATTGGCCCAGTTTCGTCGTGCAAATGAAAATAATTCGGGCCGATATTACTTATAATTATGATGTGAATAAATAAAGGCCAACACCTTTGCTCATCTAACCCCACGCCGTTTAGGCTTCGCCCTCGAAGTACTTCTCATCATGATACACGTTTGTACCCCCCCCCCGCTCCCCCGCCCCCCACTTTTGAGAATCGATTGACGCCGTTGGTGCCAACAGGCTTTTACAGCTAGGACCTATACCAGTTTGGTCTGGTTTGATTTGTACAGTGCTTTGTACGCTGAATTTGTTGCCGGTTACTAGGGCGGAGAAGGGCCTACGCAACACTGGTGCCTAGCAGTCATGTGGTTGCTAAGGCAAAGCGTCTGCCGTTGTTAAGCAAAGCTAATCCGATTACGTACTTAGACGCTAAAGCAGAGCAGTGAAATTCATGCACCACAAAAAAGATGGCCTTTTGAAAGTTGTGTTTCTCAGAAAATATGCACAGTATAATTGAAATGTTAAATTATAACGGAAGAAGAAATTCTAAACTTCATGTCAAAAAATCGCCGTCATCGATGCCGAAACGTCAATAGTAGTTACTGGTATAGCTGACCTCCAAGTCTGGAAGAAATCGTTTGTAAACTTCTCTCTATTTATATCAAAATAATTATTTCAGGAGTAGTTGAACACTTACTACTACTATTACTGTCATAGGGCGACAGGTTTTGCGAACTCCGTCCACAATAGGGCGATACACCTTATTGAGGCGACAAAATGACTGTGGCCCTTTTATGAAAACGACCCTTAGGACACGGAATTTTGCTGTCGCTAACCATCTAGATCGATTCCTCATGGTCCAATTAGTATAAATACTAAATTTCGTGGAAGGTAAGGTAAACTTGGGTTAGGTGACAGTTTAGGTTTGTGCACAAGTCTATGGGAAAGTCACCCTATTGTGGCGAAAAGAGTAATTATTATATCAACTTTTATACACCGAATTTCAGCTAAATCTGTTGTTGCAAACGCTAGTGTTACACTTTGAACCATCTCCATGGCAAATTTCGACGATGATTTCTGCCGACCCAACCCACATGCATTGTTCATTGACCGATTTCGGCCAAGCCACACAATAACGTATTGTAGATTAGCATATTCATTAGTTCGCTCGTACCCCCCGCCCTGAAAACGGACGCTGGAATACTCTGATGAATTCAAGCTCTGATTAGTTGGAATTTACGTGACCTGTAATCTGCGCGTCATCACGGTCATGACTCTGCAAGGTTTGAACTGGACGGCCATTAAGACGAACTTTCATTACTCTTTTATTCAAGTTTAGAGATTTTTTTTTTTCGTTGAAAAGCGTAATTTGTAGGAAATCCTGTAAAGTTTATCTTTGATGTACATTTACAATTCCCGTCACTTGCTCAGGCTCCGTTTCGAATCACGAACGGTCGGATTGCATTATGCAATCCACATAATGTCCACATTTTGTCCACATAATGTCCACATAATGTCCACATAATGTCCACAAAATCCACATTTTGTCCACATGGCCCGCAATGAAACAGAAATCACATCCGGTATGAAACGTGTGCATTTCTATGGGAAGTTTTCGGATAGCATTTGCGCACATTGTCTAACTGCGGTCTTGAACATCTGCAGCCAGATGCTTTATACAAGGGTCATAGGCCACTTCCTTCACAAGATTCTGTAAAGCTCACCAGCGTATCCCAGCGTCCTGTTTGCAGGGCGGGGGTACGAGCGAAATTTATTAGCGTCACTCAGCCTGTTTTGGTGTGGGTCTCGGTATCGACCAATGAAAGCCGGCAAAAAGGGTGATATTTATCAATTAATAACTCGTGAAGGAGGCTTTTCTCAATTTTTTTTAATGCACACCATAATGGATAGGACCCTTATTAAAAACCTTAGTTGGAGTCGGTGTGAATAAAATCGCTTCCACATTTTTTAAAATTCTTTTATTGTCCCAGCCACGTGGTAGCCATGTCCAGGTCATCTATCACTAGATCCTAGTATGGACCATGGTACATCCACCAGAGGGGGTGTCAGTCTTGTGATCCTACTGGAGGGGTTGGAAGTTGGCGGGAAAACCTAGTGTGCTTGTGCGCATCTACATAGGCTTGTGTACAAATGCATTGTTCACATAGGGATTACCTCGATCACCCCTGTAACCAAAATGGAACTGTCAATTGGCATTGAGGAGGTTAGTGTCTGGTTTTATTGACTGTTTAGGGCCTGAGGGATACCAGGGGTTAATCTGGGGTGAATGGTGAACTTTGAGGGCCGGGTAGCTCAAATTACATGTCATGGATGGATTCCCAGCAGGCGTCTGATATTATACTGCCAAAAAAATAGCCCGCCTAGTATTCGTGAGGCTTGAACAGATTGACAGATATTGCAAATGTCAGTGTTACATCTTTTAAAATTGCTCGTAGCCATAGTGAATTTGGAAGGGGACGTGAACTTGGGGCATGCGCCTAAAGTGTTTTTGAACAACTATTGCCGAAATTCACATGCATAAATCACATTAAACCCGTTTCTAATGTTATGATTATACATTACGTGTAAGGGTTCTGGAAGGTCGAAATATTCGGGGTCGAACAAATTCCCAATCAATCCATTGAAAACACCAACGTTCAAGTAGTATATCCAAATGAACGGTTCATCGCCATCTGAAATAAAGACAAAGCAAATATTTAGGAATCTTCTTCTTGTTATTCCAGAACTGCCAGCTTTCCAAAACCGTAGATGAATGATGTATATGAAATGATATTTTGTTTGCAGATGTAATATGGTGATAGGTAAATTAAAAAAATTAATATATAGCAAAAAATATATATATAAGAATGCCAAGTGTTTCTTGTCCAAGCGTTCAAAAGCATTGTTATACAAGGGCGTTTTTAGCTGTTTCAGGTATCCTTACCGTTTTCACGTCTGAGTAACGTTATCACTATGTGCTTTCTTTCTACGCGATACAGCAAAAGTGGTGTACGGAAACTAACGTTTGGGGGTATGGAGGACTAGAATAACAGAAGTTAACACGGAAACAACTTACAGAATGATAGACAAGACGACAGCTAAACGATAGCTTCTCAAAAATAGTACAATGTCTACCAATGGACTCGAGGCCAGCTTACCTGATACTCTTTCACGCCGTTCATTGATGTCAACTTTGTTCACACGTTTGGCAATGACATTCGCCACTAGGTATCCTGCTGAACGAGTGTGAAATGTTCCCGGTTCGGCAATAATTCGCACGCCACTGCTGGCGGGGAAATGTTCGTCTAGTGCCCGGGTGATGACGTCTGCAAACTGGCAACACAACAACGAAATCAAGTTACTTAATAATAACAAAAATGACGGGTTTTTATATATAACGCTTTTAACTATGATTAGAGCGCTCTACATTATTATTACCCCTGATCATTGGGCCAATTAAACATTCCAAATACCATCCCAGCTCCATGGGGAGTATACAGCTGGATGCAGCCTGTTAGGCGCAAGGAAGCTAGAATCGATCACAATAACCATCTCTGCCCTCACAGTCATGTTCCCATTTACTCCTGGGTAGAGAGAAGCAATGGGTGACAAAGTGCCTTGCCCAAGGGCACACGCACCATGACCCCAGGCTGAACTCGAACCCACAACCTGCAGAATTGCCCGCAGACCACGAATTCAATGCTCCAGACCACGAGGCCACGGTACTTCAATACTACATGATATATTCCAACCTTAAAAGTTACGGGTGAAATTTTCCTACAAAGGGGGACTTACACACACAGAAAAAAATTCCCTTGAAAGGAAATGTGCGCATGCATGAATGAATCTTTTATACCAATACTAATAAAAACCAGTATCAAACAATGACTAGTTTCTCAAATCTGTACTGAAAACGTATGGTGAACGTTCTAGGGTCCGTCGTCTCACTCCAATCATCTCAAATTTCCCTATAATTTCCCGGCTTTGGTTTGCAGTAGTCATCTGTGTTGATGGGTTGTCTCACTTCCTCGATGGATGACCATCTGAGTTGGTTATCATGCATGCGACACTTTCCTTTTTCCTGTAGTTTCCTGTGATGAACCTCGCTGCCCGTCTCTTGACTTTTTTGAGTGTTTTAAAAAAACCCACAATTTTTAAACCTTTTTACCAATGAACCGGGGTGCCATGTATTCTGACTATCACCCGTTATCCACAGAGCCAAGTCTCCTGTATAACGTCTGATATGTCAAAGCATGCAGATTTAAGCGATCTCGTGCTTCAGCCAAGCGGAGTCGACTTTACTAAATCGTGCCGTCATTTCATTCCCAAATCAGGACTAAACATGTGATTGGTCGGAATGCAGTGATTTATAATATAACAGCAGCCGGGTGAATGACTGTAGACCCAATACAGAAAGCGCCCGCTGATTAGGCAAAATCTAGCGGTCAGTATGCAACCTCGTCCCCAGTGCTTACTTTATTTCCAATGTTGTTTCCAATAGTAAACCCTGGATAGGAAACTTCCTTCCTGCATCCTGATTCGATACCGCAATTGGCTAGAAATGGATTTATATCGTGTACTTGGTGTTGTTATTCACAACGTGCAGTACGTGTTTTCGCGATCATTCGTCCACGCCTTCTCGAAAATATTAATTTCCTTTCCAGTTTGTTAATATTAATATGAAATGTGATACTGCATGTTGTCTCGTTAAGATCGTAACAGTTTAATTAAAATAAAATCATGTTTTCGTAACTCACGCCATGCTCGCGCTGCGACGAATTGATTTTGTTTTACCCCAGACACCGCATACAAAAACAAACGCAAATGTAACGCACAGGCAGGCACCAGACTACTTCTAATTTGCATACGTGTTCAAAAATCTTACACATGCAAATGATCCAATACCAGGGTAAGAGAGCAGGTAGTGGTGGGCGCGTACTGCTCGACACCCTGGGGACGAGGTTGGTCAGTATGCGGTTGCCTCGACGGTTGCTTTAGCCATGGTCTATTACATAGACTAGGTGCCATGCTGAAGAAGTTCATGTTTTTAATAGTGAACTTGGTCTACGAGTATTCTACAATGGAACCGTATCGTGAAACTTGTATAACTGTGCATGTAAGGAGACAACTTCATCGAAACGTTCGCAACTCATATATTTTGCCCAAAGGAAACCTTTTGTGTAGGAAACTTTGAGTAAGGAAAATTAAACGTGCCTCTCTTTTGCAGGAAAACTTGATAATTCGAATGTCACATTTCTGAAAGCATACATTTCATCCCTTACCTTATCGAAGGTTGCCTTTGGGTACAATCTTCCGGGAAACCCACCACCCAGGTCTAGCAGCTTCATGTTAAATCCGAGAGATGTGCCAATATCAAACAACGGCCGAGTGAAACGAATTGCATCGCTGAAAATCTGAGGGTTGGAAGACTCACTGCCTACATGGAAACTGTAGCAGGAAAAAAACATGAATATTGATAAGAACAAAGTGGTGAGAAAACAATTGAAAAGGCCTTCTTCTGTGAAGGTAGACCTGACTCAATTTAAAAAAAAAAATCATTGGGCCTAGACATGTTTATCGGCCTATATATTGCTTTTAATACTGATAATGTGCACCGAATGCATGTGTAAGTGTCTTATAACCATTTTAATTGATGCGTTTATAGTCCATCCGATTACGTACTTAGACGCTGTAACAGAGCAGTGAAATTCGTGAACCCCCCAAAACATGGTCTTTTGAACGTTGTGTTACTCAGAAAATATGCTCAGTATGATTGAAATGTTATTTCATGTCAGTGAAAAAAATCGTCGTCATCGATGCCGAAATCTCAAAAACTGGTTACTGGAAAAGCAGACCTTCAAGTCTGGAAGAAATCGTTCGAAAACGTCCCCAAACCTATATATTTATATCAATTTCTATGAATTTACGAAAGTTGTTATTTCACGAGTAGTTGAACACTTATATCATCTAAGTATATTACGAATTTCAGCTTAATCTGTTGTTGCCAACGCTTGTGTTACAGCTCGAACTAGCTATAAGGAAAATCTCGACGAAAATCTTTTCCAACCCAACCCACTTGCATGGTTTTCATAGCGCCGTAGGCGCTACAGTTGACCGATTTCGGCCTGGCACAGCACAATAACGACGGGTAGCCTATATCAGCATATTCATTAGCGTCACCTGGCGTGACTTGGCGTGGGTCTCAGTATCGACCAAGGGAAGCCGGCAAAAAGGGTGATATTTATCAATTAATAACTCGTGAAGGAGGCTTTTATGCAAAATTTTAATGCACACCATAATGGATAGGAACCTTATTAATATTTATGAGGCTTTAAAAGATTGACAGACATTGCTTACGCCAGTGTTACAGTTTTCAAATATGCACGCAGCCAGGCCTATTTTTCCAATTTCAACGAAAAGTAAAGAACATAATTACAATTACTTAATTGTTCATTTTTCTATTTTATCATTTAAATTGCTGTTTTTTCTCTCACTATTTTTAGTGTTTTAATTTCCTATCACAGGACCATAATGTGAAACAGCCTTTGATCTGATATTTTTGTATTCTGTATAACGATTTTGAAATAAATAAATAAAATAATTAATTAATAAATAAACAAAAGATGATAGACTTTTCCAAGTGGTAGCTTCACTATGAAAAATCAAGCATTTTTCAAGATGATCATAAACAGGGACAAAAGGTAGCGCTCTTCTTTGCAGCACATTTGCCGAAAGGACACATGTTGCTTTTGCCAACAGAAACGACAAAGGGGTGGGGGTGTGACACCCCAAGACACGTCTTTAGCGGCACCCATGAAAAAAACCAACTTGTGCTAAGTGGTATATTCATTTGGTGTTTCATATGCCGACTAAGGCTATACATGCCGACTGAAATAAATTATTTCTATTATTAATAAATTATTATTAAATCGTAAATTATTTCTTGTTATATACCAAATCGCATATAGCTTGGCCAGGCTATGGCATGCCTAAATCATGCCCTGTTGAAAAAGAAGTGCGATAGGTTTAACTCGGAATAACTTTAACAATTTATACCGGTACATGTACCTGAAAAAAACATTGCTTCGCGTCCAACTAAATTCCTAATCGGAACTTTTTCTTTAATGTGGCCCGCTTAAGCCCACTGATGTTTGGGAAAATACTGGGATAGCATGTAACTGCTTTTAATAAGTAAACAGGACGGTGTACAAATTCATCGAGAATTGGCGATTTTCGGAACCGGCAATTAACCCACGGACCAAGTTGTACTCTGGTTGTATTTTGATTGTTTTTTTGCTCTCTTTTGCTTTCTCAGTATAAAATTAAACGTGAAATATCTTTGGTTAACTGGTTAGTGTTTTCTTTATGGAAACTGTATACGGCTTATGGTGACAGAGTGATTTTTTCCCACCGAGTTAAATGGTCCCAAGATCACCAGATCTCTCCCCTTGTGCCTTTTTCAGGAGTTAAGTACCGGGATAGTGGGTAAGGTGAATCAGAGTCAAGACCAAGGAATGGTAAAACGTGCGGTCAGAGACGACGATGTGAGCTGTGTATTACCAGTGATTACGTGTATTATTAGTGATCAGAAAGATTCTTTCATTTTCATTCCTTCCATGAGGTACCTAATCATTGTCCCTATATCATCACTTTTCCAATGTGCACTAACTTGTCACAATGCTGATTTTGACCTCTTTCATAGTTTTCTCATCCATCCATGACAATAACGTATTGAAATTAATATCATTGGATAGAGGACATGCTGGCCTTTTTTCTTTCTTGTTGCCTCCTTCTGAAATATTCAGCAAATTTCTGATAATTTACATGTAAAATAGTTTCACCTGATACCAACGACATCTAGTCCTAGTTTCTTGGCAATCTCCAGGAGGGGGCGTACTTCTTCCCCGCGACAACCAAATTTTGATCCATAATTAAATGTAGCCGTGCTGTCGTCATAACGTATACGAAGTACGAGCCTATGTACAAAGAGAATAAAAAGTATCGGGAAAAGGCATCCAAAAAACATCAGCATAACCAGGGTTTTGTTTTTACCTCACAGCCGACCCTTGAAAGGGCTTTGGTGCATTTGTCTGAATCAACTTTTATTCGCTTCGCGTAAATAAATGAACACAATAATTATAATACAGGGTGAGTCAAAAAAGCGGAACCCACACCCCCAAAATTATATTTCATATTTTCCCAAAAATAATAATGACTGGAAAGCCAATTTCATACACTACTTTTAGATGAAAAAAATACTGAAATTGCTCAATCCGTTCAAAGAATATCAAGAGTTAAACGCAATGACCCTAAAACCTCTTTCGTCCAGCAAAAAAAAAGAGAAAAAAGCAATTTATTGTGCATTCTTACTGTTTCAAACAACGACAATAATGACACAGAATACTTGTTTCAACAACTGTCAATAACTGTAGTACACAATATCTTGATTAACAACCCTGCTTAGGCAAACCATATGATTTATAAAATCCACCTTTTTTTTTAAAAGACGGGCCTTCAAAAGGGTTTGGCTAAATATTTTTGCTTTTTAAAAGGAGGTTTTATCGCTGGTGATGTTTGAAGACACTGTGACGACGATTCTTGACATCGCATTTATGGACGAAAGAGATTTTCGAGTCATTGGGTTTAAATGGTGATATTCTTAGAACGTATTGAACAATTTCAGTAATTTTGTTATTTTAAAGTAGCTAATGAAATTGGCTTTCCAGTCATTATTTTGTTTTAGTGCTACATATTTTTTAGATATGAAATATAATTTTTGGGCTTTTTATGACTCACTCTGTACGTTGGTAGGCCTATGTAAAGCGTAGTTAATTCTATTCCATACGATGTTTTGTGAATACTTTGCAATTATGATGAATCCAAATGTCATTTATGGGTTACAATCCTTAGTCAAAACTTACTGCGCTTTAGGGTGAACCCGTTTGACTTTCTGCAGTTCTTCCGCCGTGTCAAATGTCATGAGTCGTACTCCTTTCTCTTTCGCAAAACGAAGATGTGATTCTTGTTTGTAGGGATGAGCGAAGATAATGCGATCAGCGCTTGCTCCTAGATCTAGAACCATTTTGATCTCTTTCTTCAAGGAACGGTTAAAACAAAATACATTACTGGATAGTATAGGCCCAACCGGTTAACCTATAGTAATGAGATTAGTAAACTTTACAACAAATAGACATTATACATAGCAGCCATCTTAGAGGGCAATGCCTTTGTCTTGCTGGGATATGCATGAGAGAACTGTTTGTGCATTCAAAGTTACTGAATGAAAATAACTAACAACAGATGCCCTGTAAGATGGCCGTTACGCATAATGACTAATACCACTTGCAAACTCAAACGCAAGGCGATAAATCCTCTCGGCTTGAAAACCTCTATAAGTATACCCATCGTTAAAAGCGAGTAAATCCCGATAAACTGATGTTGTTACTTGGGCAGATGAACTTGAATTCGAAGCTCAATCATATTCTTGGGCAACATTGTATTCTGCAGATTCGAATTAAGCGGTTTTGACCGTTTGGTCTTTGACGATTGTAAGTTTTACATTTTAGATGTGGTGAAGAGATGATCAGTGATTTTGAGTGCCCGTTTGATGAAATTAGATCTTTTGGAACATTTCTACTTATCATTCTTGAACATTTCGAATATCATGGCCAACCATTAAAATAAATCTGATGGAAATCACGAACTTTCTAAGTACTTGTGTGTATCTTTATACTATCAGGGTTGTTGTCAACACGTTATTTTCAACCCCTGATATATATCTGTACGCTCGAAGTTCAGATAATTACTTTTGACACAAAAAAAAATCTAAGATGCGTACCTTGCTAGCACAATCAAACGATTTACCAAGTCCAATCAAGAGACGAATGATCACTGGATCCGGGTTGCTTTTCACGGCTGGAAAAAATGCATACAACAGCAATTAAAGGAACAAAAAAACAGGACTGGAATTAAAGGCACGTAGGAACTTTGGTAATTATCCTCCAAATGTATACTTACCAATTTAATGAGAAAGCCTTGCTCACAGTGAAAACATGACAATGAAATAAAGTAACGGAACTCAGTTACGAGATGTCTAGTACAGCTAAGCTAAAACATCAACAAATTAGTTTCATACACCCTTATATATATTTCGAGCAATTTTGTAAATATTTCGAGCAACAAACGAGGGAGGCAGAAGAGCGACCGTGTAGCATATGAAGCACGTGGGTGCGTATTTAAAGTCCACTTACCAAAGAATACTTCGACGTTTGGCAATAACTTCGCCCACAACTTGTCTTTGGTCACTACATCGCCGAGGTCGTAGAGGTAGAATGGATCATCTACGTCCTTAAAAAAAACCAAGACGTTTCAAATAGAATGTCTTATACTGTAGTAAAATCGGTGCCAACTACCGATAAGGCCTAGAAGGGGTTTCTGCATCTGTCGCTAAACAAACTCTAGTCTTTTCGTGGCTTATAGTGGACCAGCCAAAGTGGAATATTACATTTTGGACGGCATTTTGTGGTAATAGCAGGCAACCATGTCAGATCAATCAGTCAAAGGGTGGAGAAGACAATGTAGGTGGATGCCACCCTTAATTTTGACCCTAAATATACCTAATTTGCATAAATTGTTAATCTCTGCAGTGTAATAGGCCTATATTAATTCCCATATTAGGGTATATTCTTTATTTTTTATTTTTTGAAAAGCCTTATTTTGGTGATTCTAATAAAAAACCTTACTTAAATAACATTTTCTTAAACATATAAGTGACTTAATAATCATGAGGACATTGTAACGATCCAAAATGGCAACTTTTTTGACCCGAAAATTGTGCGCATTTACGTTGTCTCCAGATATCATCAAGAAGTCTTCCCAAACCTTAGTATTGATGAGCTTCAAATTCACTAAGTTGCTAACTGGCCCAGTTTCCCTATTCAAACCAAATGGAAAATATGTGAACAATGATAACATTGTGATATTTAGAACTGTCCATTTTTGGTGGGTACTACATTGGCATAGTTGCGTTCGGGAACGTTCAATCTGCTCAGTTTCTGTAGCAGAAAAGCAGATGGCCACTAAATTGAACCACCGTGACAAAACGTTCAATCTGGTAGCAGAAAAGCAGATGTTCCATTTTGAACCGCCAGGGAAGGGCTAAAAGCTAAACATGCTTTTCTTGTAGCAGAAAAGCAGACAAGTAGAAATATGCATTTAAGCAAAATGTTCAATCTGCTTTTCTGGTAGCCAAAAAAAACCCAGAAAAAGTAGAAAAGTGCACTTCAACAAAACGTTCAATCTGCTTTTCTGATTTCCGCGACCAATCGGAGTCGATTTTATTAAATCGTTACCGGTACGTCATTTTATTTTAAATTAAAAGACCAGTAAATAAACAGACCAGTAAATAAACTTCTATAGACCTCAATGATAGTTATGCGCACTTAGGAATACTTACAACTCTCCAAGGTGTTTGAAATATACATCAAATTTAAGCTTATTTCATCATCTTTCATTTTCTGTTCGTTTTTTAGGGTTGAACAAATATTACTTTTGGGCGACAACTCCATCCAAAGATGATCAACCCTAAAATGACGCCTACGCTCGAACCATTTTTGCAAAATAGACCAATGTTGGAGGCTAATTTCATCCGAATTTAACAGAAATAAAAGCTCGCAGTCCTCTGGCTTCCAGCCTTCTGTTGTACAAACCCTCAAGAGTCATGGCCCTCAAAATACTCTAATAATAACGGAGAATTGGAGGGCATGCAAATCTTGATTTCCGGCGTAGGCAATTTCGGGCCTATTTATTTTATTGGCCTAAACTCAGAATAATTATTATGGTGTTCTAAAAAGGACAGACAAATGTCGTGTGCGTGAGTTTGAAACGTCGTGTGCGTGAGCTTCCGTCCTGTGTGTGAGTTTCAAACGTCGTGATCTGTTACACGGTACCCTCTGGAGACATGTGCACAATAGGAAACAAAAGACTGTGTAAGTCTCCACAGAGCAATTTCTATAGGTGAATACGTCTCCACAAGGTTATCATGAAATGTTTATATGGATTTTACTAAAGAAAAACCTGGGAATTTCCAAGGTGTGTTGATGTGTCGCAAATTGAAGTATTTTATGTAAGTAATATTAAGTCCAAATTTCAGCCCAAGAAATTAATTCTGGTTAAAAAAAATTGTATTTGCCTGAACTCAGAATTATGGGAATTATTAAAAGGGACAGGCAAACGTCGTGAGTATGAAACATCGTGTGCGTGAGCTTAAACGTCGTGTGAGTGAGCTTCCGCCGTGCGTGTGTGTGAGTGTGCGTGAGCTCAAAACGTCGTTTCAGAATACCCCGCAACTCGTGTAACCACCGGGTAGCTGGTTGCAAAGCTGTGGTCACGTTCAACTTGCTCGCAATCAACCTTCTACCACTCAAATAAAGTCTAAAAACCAATCCCTGACCCTCTATACTGGCTAGCTGCCTAGCTGCCGGATTTTGGACTTTTAACTCTTTTGTTTTCAACACTTCCCAGTCACTGCTCGCTTTGGAGTTTGTGTGTGTTGTTATGTTTGTAGAATAAAAATGTGTCTACATTTCAGCACGGAGGTGCAAGTGCCCTTTCCAACTGACCTTGCTACGCCACTGTATTCTGCTCTCATTTCTTACCTCTCTTTTTGGTTCATCTTGGTCTTCGTCTTTAACCTTCTCGTTAGCAATGTCTCGAATCGAGGTTCCATTTTCATAAAGAGTTACTCGTAGATCAGGCGTTTCGTAACGTTCCATGACTCACAGGCTAATACCTCACGGTGGGAGTTTCGAGAGGAGAATAAAAAAAAATAGGCAAACTAAAAGATAAAAGTCGGGCAGGTGGTAACATTCACTCGCTTACTGGAACTCCGGTTACCGGCCAAGGTTCAACTCATTACCCACCCGTTACAAAGTGTGGATCAGTATCCCAGTTCTATTGCTGCTTATGTGGGTTACCCTCCTCAAAAAAGACTGAACAAATCCACAAGGTCATCAGATGAGATGTTATCTTGTTTGACTTGCCAATGTGAGATCGAAGTCTGCTCAGTTTGGGTCATGTTCTCTGTATCCAATAACAGTACTGAATGATACGGGGTTTGTTTGTGCAAAAGGCTCTTAATGATTCCTTCCAGCCTCGCTTAGGTTACGTTGATTTGAATGGGCAAAAATAAAGATGGCCGCGCGTATAGCCCCCCCCCCCCCGCCCTTCAAACAGGACGCTGGGAAGGGCTGATTAATTTACGCTCTGATTGGATAGATTTTGCCTTACCTGTGACATGCAAGTCTTCGCGGCCACGACCCTGCAAGGTTTTAAACGGCCGTTAAGACTGGGTCATCACATTCTTTTAGGGTTGAAAAGCGTAATAATGTATAGAAAGATCTTCAAATGTAATGTACATTTTCAATTCCCGTCACTCGCTCGGCTCCGTTTTGAATTCACGAAGGGTCAACTTGCATATCATGCGACTGCTCAAATTTTGTCCACGTGCATGGTCTGCAATGAAAAAGAAATCACATCCGGTATGGAATGTGTTAATTTCTATGAGGTTTTCGGATAGCACTTGCGCGCATTGGGTAACTATACGGTCTTAAACAGCTGCAGCTACATGCTTTATGCATAGGTCATGATAAATTACCCAGAATGCCATCCCCACTCCCTTCACAAGATTCTGTGAAGCTCATCAGCCCTTCCCAGCGCCCTGTTTGCAGGGTGGGGGTACGAGCGAAACCACCGGGGTTGACTACCGCATACCGTTCCGGGGTTACGTGTAGCGCGCGGTATAATAACACACGGGATTCATCCTCGGCCCCAATATACGCGTACGTCGATTCCAATACCGACTTGAATAATCTGCACCCGCGTTTGTACACACAGCCTTGTGGTTGCGAAGGGAGATTTCTAAAGGTTACATAACACTTTATTTTGAATAAAACTAAATGTACACAGACATCTTCACGTTGGCGAGTGAAAACTAATTTCTCCAGTTTGGAAGACCGGATCTTCATGCAACTTTCAGGATTTATTTCCCTTAATGATCCAAGTATGTGCTAAAATCGTAGTGATACATTCATTACTTTCGTTGAAATTGGAAAAATAGGCCTTGTGACGGGGTGTCGGGTACCAAATCTCAACTTCAGACTTGAACGGCTTGTATGTGTAATCGGGTGAACACGGTTTAATCTGTCCATAACAAATACAAAATTTAATTTAAACAGTTGTAAATTGTAAGTATGAATCAACAACAATTTTTTTTTATAATTGAAGTTAAGCAATCATAACTAATCACATAATATCAGGCAATTAACAGGATCGATGACACCAGCCTTGTCTGTGGGTCTACATGTACATTTTGTACCATTACACGCAATAACCCTATTGTCACATGTAATTAACCACAATGCACATACATGTGCATTATAAACTGTCTCTATTTATACTTGTGTGTGTTTTTCTCCAAATTCAATACCTTAAACTTATCCCAGAACCCAAAGCGTGTCCATAATAACCAAATAAAGGGATTATAAATGATGAGTTATGTATATTTCACTTACGACTTTGGGATGACGTGTTAACAAAACATGAAATATGGCGACTGCAAAAGCGTGACTGCAAAGTTCTAGATGACGGTCCAATTTAACAGCGCCCTCTATCGATGAAATATAACAAATAATTTATTTATCAAAAAAAGAGCATTCTGACTTAACAGACCTGCTACGTGCATTTTTGAAAGTTGTAACACTGGCGTTTGAAATATCTGTCAATCTTTTCAAGCCTCTGGTGTGCAGTGAAAATTTGGAGAAAAGCCTCCTTCACGAATTATTAATTGATAAATATCACCCTTTTTGCCGGCTTCCATTGGTCAATACCGAGACCCACGCCAAAACACGCCGAGTGATAGTAATGAATATGCTAATCTACCATACGTTATTATGTAGCTTGGCCGGAATCGGTCAACCGTAGCGCCTACGGCGCTTTTGCTGAACAATGCACGTGAATTGGGTCGGCAGAAAATCATCGTCGACATTTTCCTAAGAGATAGTTCAAGGTGTAGCACTAGCGTTTGCAACAACAGATTAAGCTGAAATTTGGAATATACATGTACTTTGGTGATAAAAGTTTTCAACTACTCGTGAAATAACAATTTAGAAAATGCATAGAAATGGATATAAATACATAGATTTGGGGAAGTTTTTGAACGATTTCTTACAGACTTGAAGGTCAGCTTTACCAGTAAGCAGTATTGACGTTTTGGCATCGATGACGGCGATTATTTCACTGACCTGAAGTTTAGAATGTTGTCTTCCGTTATAATTTAACATTTCAATCATACTGAGCATATTTCCGGAGAAACACAACGTTCAAAGGGCCATTTGTATGTGATGAATGAATTTCACTGCTCTGCTATAGCGTCTATACGTACGTAATCGGATTAGCTTTGCTTAACAATGACTGCACAAGTCCATGGAACGTGCTACCAAAATTGGACAGAGCACTCTGATTGGCTAAGAATCAGAAGGATACGAATATTTTTATTACACATGACATTTACACGTCTCGGAGAACGTGCGCAAGCGTGTACACGTGACTTGCGTGGTGAATGCCTTTACCATGCAACACGTATAGCGAATCATTTGCTCGAGGCTTCGAAAGCTAATGGTCGTTTGGAAAACAAGATTTTTACATTTCATTTTTTATTTACCACTGAGTGCAATATTTTAACGAAAATCGTTCGAAAACAGAGAGAGAGAGAAAAAAGAAGAAGCGCTCATTGTTCAATCATGCATGCGAACTATATCTCACTCTAATAATGGATGCTTTCCCATGCTTCCCAAACGCCGTGTGGTTGCGAAGGCTAATTTGTAAAGGTTACGTAACACTTTATTTTGAATAAAACAACATGCACACGTACATGTTTACGTTGACGGGCGATATCTTTGAAAATTAATTTCTCCCGTTTGGGAGACCGAATCATCATGCAACTTTATGTGCTAAAATATCGCTTTGATATGTTATTACTTTTCGTTGAAATTGGAAAAATAGGCCTGGTTACGTGCTTTTTTAAAAGTTGTAAAACTGGTGTTTGCAACATCTATCAATTTTTTCAAAACCTCACGAATATTAAAAAGGTTCCTGTCAATTATGGTATACAGTGAAAATTTGCAGAATAGCCTCCTTCACAAGTTAATTATTAATAAATATCACCCTTTTGCCAGCTTCCATTGGTCGATACCGAGACCCACACGAAGTCACGCCGAGTGACGCTAATGAATATGCTAATAATCGCTTCGTCATTGTTGCCTCAAAATCGGCCAAGCATGCAAGCTAACCTAGAAAAAACATGCACATGAGTTTGGTCGAAAAAAAAACCTCGACAAAATTTTGCTTGGAGATAGTTCAAGGTAGTTCAACAAATCAAGCTGAAATTTGGAATATGCTAAGATGATAATTGTTCAACTACTCGTGAAATAAGAACTTGAGGAGATTCCCAGATACTGAGATAAATACATAGATTTGGGGACGTTTTCGAACGATTTCTTCCTGACTTTAAGGTCAGCTTTATCATATTGACTTTTCGGCATCCTTGACGACATTTTTTTTTCACCGACATGAAATTTAGAATGTCTTCTTCCGTTATAATTGAATATTTTAATCATTTCGCTGGGTGCATAAGTGAGTAACCATCCGAATTCATATTAGTCGTTAGACATGTCGAGACTAGGAATTAATGTCAACACGATACACAGCAGGCCCCGTGCTAGTAAATATGGGGGGCCCGGCGGACAAAACACGACTGCCTAATGACCTGTCCTCAAGTCTAGGCCTATAGGCCTTTCTTTTGTTTGTAAACTTTGGCGCCATTTTGTAGGGGCTGCCTTAAGCGAATAAATTGAAGCCGTGGTTGGCAACATATTTTCCCAAAAAAGTCCTCATAACGCCACCAACACATAGTAAAAAATAATATTTTGGTGATCTGTATAATAACTCTTTTTCATTTTTGCAGTGTAGGACCTTCCATAGTTTTGCAGGCCGTGGTTAGCAAAAATGCAGTTTGCCAACCAAGCGCAGAAAGGTCTATAGATGCTATTATAACACCTCATCACCCCCAGATTCTGTTTCGCGAGAACAAGAGATTCGCGTTTGCCTAGTCACTGAAGCGGAGGTGGCAACCGTCATTTCGAAACTTCCCGATGGGAAAGCTCCAGGCCATGACGGATTAAGCTCATTTGTTATCAAAGAAGTAAGGCATGCGTGACAATATGAAAATACCAAAGATAGTATCTATATATATTAATGGTAGTAAATATAGTATTTGTTACTATATATACCAATATCAATATTATCTGTGTTGTCTAAAGTTTTTAAAAAAAATTGTCTACAAACGACTGATGGAATTTATTGTAAAAAGAAATACAGTATAACAGATTCACAGTATGGTTTCAGAGCTAAACGCTCAACTGAGCTGGCTTTTACAAGTGTTATCAACACAATCACTGAAGCTAAATTGAAAATAAAGAATTTTCAATGGGAATTTTCTTGGACCTTTCCAAGGCCTTGCCTTGAACTGGTTTAGGAGTTATTTGAAAGACAGAAAGCAGTATGTCGTATTTGATTCCTTAACATCGCAACATAAAACAATTTGTGGTGGTTCAGTTCTAGGACCGTTATTGTTTCTTATTTATGTTAATGACATTGGAACGCTACCATTGGAATACCAGTGAGTTTACCATTTGAACTGCTGATAACACCATTTGATTCACTGAATGGTATACCATTGATT